GGGTAGCAAAATTCTGACTCTACAGACCAAAGAGTAGTTGCAAGTTGCAATTTTTAATGTGGGTTGTTCAGTTTTCACACAACAGCTAAAAGGGTGCTTAAATCTATCAATTTTACAACAAATTGAAGAATAAAGTTGCCGACTTTACTATAATGTCATTAGCAAGTAGGAACTTTGAGTGCTGCCCATGTTTTTTTTTTATATAATAGTTTCTGTGCGGTAATCTGTTTCATTTCGAACACTAACAGGTGGCAACTACAAGCAATGGTAGTTCTGGGTTCTCTGAGTCTCATCGAAGTCCAGAGGATGAAGTGGATGATGATGATCTCTCGCAAATGGTTAGCTTCATTGCCAAAAGGCATATATTATTGCTACATGCTGGAGGTGATTCTAAAAGGGTCCCCTGGGCAAACCCCATGGGGAAAGTTTTCCTGCCACTTCCGTATCTGGCAGCTGATGACCCTGATGGGCCAGTCCCCCTGCTTTTTGATCATATACTTGCAATTGCTTCTTATGCAAGACAAGCTTTTAAAAATGAAGGTTATTTGTTTCGTCTACTGCATTTTAAGTGAAATTGAACATGAGTTAGATATATCAATGACACTCACATTGTGGCATTTGGTAATGTTACTGAGTCATCTCTCACAGCATCATATATCTTCGCGCTAATGATGTTTCTATCTTCTCAGGTGGAATATTTACTATGACTGGAGATGTACTTCCATGTTTTGATGCCTCTAACATGGTGCTTCCAGAGGACACATCCTGTATCATCACTGTTCCCATCACCCTTGATATTGCGTCTAACCATGGTGTTGTTGTGGCATCTAATAGCAGAAATGTAGAAAGAAGTTATACTGTCAGCTTAGTTGATAATCTCTTACAGAAACCTAGCTTAGAGGAACTTGTTAAGAACAATGCAATTCTTGATGATGGTAGAACACTTCTTGACACTGGAATAATAGCAGTTAGAGGTAAAGGGTGGGAGGAGCTTGTTGCACTTGCTTGTTCCTGCCAACCAATGATTTCAGAACTTCTAAAGAGTGGAAAAGAGGCAAGTTACTATTGCTAGAGGAACTTTCTGTTCATGCCGTCCTGCTAATGTATAGTTTACAATAAAGTCAACTGGACTATTATTGTAGGCTTTGTAGTTATATAATGCGCATAGATTTCTTTTAGTGTGTGATTTCCTAGTGATTTTTTGAGAGCTTTTAAAGCTTTAATAATATCCATATATTTTTTGCAGATGAGTTTATATGAAGATCTTGTAGCAGCTTGGGTACCTGCAAAACATGACTGGTTGCGGCTACGCCCCTCAGGCGAAGAACTCGTCAGTAGATTAGGAAAACAGAAGATGTTCAGCTATTGTGCTTGTATGTGTATCCTTGATGCCAGTATCCAAATCTTATTGTTTTCATCTATTTTCTATCTGATTTTTTATTTTCTATATCATTTCTGCTTCTTGATTTCCCTGCAGTTGATTTGTCGTTCTTACATTTTGGAACCTCAAGTGAAGTTTTGGATCATCTGAGTGGAGCTAGTTCGGTACTGGTCGGTCGAAGACACCAGTGTTCTATACCAGCAACCAATCTATCTGATATTGCAGCATCTGCTGTTCTTCTTTCTAGCAAAATTGCACCTGCTGTCTCCATTGGGGAAGATTCTCTTATATATGATTCAACCATTTCCAGTGGAATACAAATTGGTTCCCTGTCCATAGTTGTTGGTATTAATGTTCCATCAGTGAATGATACTGCTGCTGAAAATTCATTTAGGTTCGTACTTCCGGATCGTCATTGTCTTTGGGAGGTTCCGCTAGTAGGACGCACCGGAAGAGTCATAGTGTATTGTGGCCTTCATGATAACCCCAAAAATTCAGTCTCTAAGGATGGAACTTTTTGTGGGAAACCCTGGAGGAAGGTCTTGCATGATTTAGGAATTCAAGAAAATGATCTATGGAGCGCAACTGGTACTCATGAAAAGTGTTTATGGAATGCAAAAATATTCCCTATTCTTTCTTGCTTTGAAATGCTAAATTTGGCGTCATGGTTAATGGGCTTGAGTGATCAAAACTCAAAGCATTTTCTTTCATTGTGGAGAAGTTCACCACGTGTCAGTTTAGAGGAGTTGCATAGATCAATTGATTTTTCAAAAATGTGTCAAGGCTCCATTGATCATCAAGCAGACCTTGCAGCTGGAATTGCTAAAGCGTGCATTAAATATGGGATGCTTGGCTGCAACTTATATCAATTGTGTGAAGAAATTCTGCAAAAGGAAGATTTAGGAGTCAAAATATGTGAGGACTTTCTAGGTCTTTGTCCCGGACTCTTGGAGCAGAACTCTAAGATTCTTCCCAAAAGCCGAGCTTACCAGCTTCAGGTTGATCTTCTTCGAGCATGCAGCAATGAAACAACAGCTTGTAAGTTGGATCACAAAGTTTGGGATGCAGTTGCTGATGAAACTGCTTCAGCTGTAAAATATAGTTTTAAAGGTAGAGTCAGTTATTCATATCTCAATAATGCCATGATTGTATAAAATTCGATAGGAAAGGACAAAAAGAAAAGATAAGATAAGCTTTCTCCATCCATACAACAATGACTTTGAATATTCATTCATTTTTGTCATCCTTTCTTTCTAAGTAATCCCGTCCTCATTTTAAACGTAGATGCTATTCTTTTTGCATCTCATGTCTGATGTCTAATAGTCCTTAATCTTTAAAGGACCAGAAATTTACAAAAAACTTGTTTTAATCCATGGTCTGTAGAGTATCTATTTGAGGCACCCAGCGATATCCCTACTCCAGTTTATAAGGACAATGATTTTGATGGCTCTGCGGATCATTCTTTCCACCCTAGAAGGGTGAAGGTTGAATTACCAGTTCGTGTGGATTTTGTTGGGGGTTGGAGTGACACGCCTCCATGGAGCTTGGAGCGTGCTGGTTCTGTTCTGAATATGGCAATAAGTTTGGAAGGTTCTCTTCCCATTGGAGCCATCATAGAGACGGCAGAAACAACTGGTGTCTTTATTAAAGATGATGCTGGAAATGATATACACATTGAAGACCTAACCTCAATTGCTACTCCATTTGACGGCAATGATCCCTTTCGGCTTGTCAAATCCGCACTGCTTGTGACTGGCATTATTCATGAAAGTGTTGTTGCATCCATGGGCCTGCAGATCAGGACATGGGCCCATGTTCCTCGTGGCAGTGGTTTGGGGACTTCTAGTATCTTAGCAGCTGCAGTTGTGAAGGGACTTCTCCAGATTACGGATGGAGATGAAAGTAATGAAAATGTTGCAAGACTTGTTCTTGTATTAGAGCAGCTCATGGGAACAGGTGGTGGTTGGCAGGATCAGATTGGGGGTCTCTATCCTGGTATTAAATTTACTGCAAGTTTTCCTGGAATCCCATTGCGACTGCAAGTCGTCCCACTTTTGGCTTCTCCTGAGTTAATTTCAGAGTTGCAGCAACGCTTGCTTGTGGTTTTTACTGGTCAAGTATGTGGCCCCTTTCCATTTCCACTGTAAATATGCATGATAAGGCTTTTCTCGCATAAAATAAGTAAATAACAATAGAAAGACAGCATTACACAATTGCATATTCAGTGGTGAAAAGCATCAAGGTGAAAATTGAGAATCTTGTTCGACACACACTTTTGATTATTGTGCCTTCATATATGTTGCTTTATTCTGTATGTCCACGTTTACAAAGAAAACATCTCTTTATCTGCATGTATTTGAAACTTGTAATGTAGTATGACTTTTGTGCAGGTTCGACTTGCACACCAAGTCTTGCAAAAGGTGGTTATCCGATATCTTCGAAGGGACAACCTTCTTGTATCCAGCATCAAGCGGCTCGCTGAGCTGGCTAAGATTGGGCGAGAAGCTTTGATGAATTGTGACATAGATGACCTTGGGGAGATAATGTTAGAGGCTTGGAGGCTGCATCAAGAACTCGATCCTTACTGCAGTAACGAATTTGTCGATAGACTTTTCGGATTTGCACACCCCTATTGTTGTGGCTACAAGCTTGTTGGAGCTGGGGGTGGAGGCTTTGCCTTGTTGCTTGCCAAGGATGCTAGGCACGCAAAGGAACTAAGACATTTGCTGGAAGAAGATTCGAGTTTTGACGTCAAAGTATACAACTGGAGCATCTTCTTAGATAATTAGGAGGTGCATTATTATTCTTTAGATTGCTTCTTAGCTTTTGTACATTCTTTAATATATATATTGATATTGATATTGATATGCTCACTCTATTTGTTGTAGTTTCATTTATTTAAGTCTGTAGAATAATTTCTGGAGAAGTATTGTGTGTGTAGTATTTGCAAATTATTCAAATTTGTATTTGCATTGAAATAATAAATAGAAGAAATGTATGAATTTCAAGTCATTGATTGTGCTTTAATAGTTTCGAATTCGTAATATCACATTGCATTTAATAATTTTATATACATTGTATCTAGTAAATATCTTTACAATTTTTTCATTCAATGCAAGCTTATTATCAAAATCCAAATTCATTTTTTCTTTAAATATAATTTTTTCTCACATACACAATCAAGATGTCATGAGAATTCGAACATGAAATCTCTTGTTGTCTGCAAGTCAAGGGTCTATTTCTACCTCCTCGGAACCTTTTGCATAAAAAAAGAAAAAAGGAAAAAACCAAAAAAGAAAAAGGGCGAGCCACCAGCCAAGTGGCAAAGGCAAACAATCATAAACATGAACATGTATAACGTGGAAGTGGAACCAAGGCAAAGAATCCAAAGCGTTTCAGAATTCCTTGCCTTCTGAACATAAAAAAGCAAATCTTTTCCCCACAAATTGTGTTGCTAATGGAACAAAACAAACATCACCATATTAAAAGAGTTTGATTAGTGATAGGCTACAAAGGAAAAAGAAAAAGAATAAGAAAAAGAAAAAGGAGAAGAAAATGACCTCCACATAATTATAATGTGGAGCCACTATCCAGTCCTTTTTCTCTACTGCAATGCCTACCTGTCCATCCAAAACTTAAAAGACCCTAGTCAGAAGGCAGAGAAAAACAAAAAAAACACACAGAGAAAAGAGAAGGGTCATCTCATCATCATCACCATTCATGACCCATCATCTTCACCATCATCAAATTTGGTCATGATTGATGACCCATGAATGAAAATCCAAGAAATGTATGATGCAGATACATTTTTTTTGGTGAAGGTCGTTTAACTGCTTCTTTGGTGAGCCAATTGTTTTCTGCCGATGCCATATTTAATTAATTAATTTTATTTTGTTGGTGTTGTAGAGTCCCAAATGTTCAAACTTTTTAGCAGTTATTCTATTTTGTGGGTCACTAGGTCTATTTAAAATTTTTGTACAGTCATTTTTATACATGCAAGCGGTTGCTTATGGTGTATAGAGTGGTATAGTGGAGAAGAGGCAGAGAGAGCCAGTCAACAGAGATAAAGGGAGAGATGGGTCTGCTCACGAACAGGGTTGAGAGAAACGAGATCAAGCTTGGAGACCACATCTACACCTACAGAGCTGTCTTCACCTACTCTCACCATGGTCTCTCTCTCCCTCTCTTTCTCTCTCTTACTCATTTTGTTGTTTTATTTTCTGCGTATTTAATTGTGTATATGCTTTTCAAGAATTACACAATGTGGGTTTATGGCGTGATGCGATTTCTGGGGCTTTCCATTTTTTTTCCGTTTTGTTTGTATCAATATGCTTTCTGGGTTTCAATTGTCTTGAACTTGAATAGCATTGACTTGTGTTTCATCCAAAGACTTTTTTATTTTTTGGTACGTCTTTCCCAATTTATGTCATTCTGTAGCTGAATTGTGGTATCTTGATTCCTTGATTAAGGCCTCTAACTAGTCCAAGGAATTGATGCTTATTGGATAACTTTGTTATGTCATTCTTTCAAATCATGGTGATTGGATAATTGTTGTGTGATATGACTGAATCTTGTATAATGTTTTTGTAATTCTCCATTTAATTGCTGGTGAATGTAAGGCTCTTCGATTTCTACTGGTTGATTTAGGTGTGCCATGATGAAAGCTGATTGCTTGCCTTCAAAATTGATTACTTTTTTGTTATTTTGCCTTATTGCTAGGTTAACTGATAACCTTAAGACCAATACAATAATTCTTATGCTGCTATTTCTCTTGGCATGACTCCATAGCCACCATGAAGCTTGAAAGTTTCCAATTTTTTTTTTAAAACTCTGACCTCATCAAATTTGTTGCAGAAAGGATTCTAAGCAGTAACTGCTATTTCAAAGAGTATTTGTTCGATGGTTTGTATGGCTCAACAAAAGAAAAACAGAATTAGATACTAGTCTTGTTGAGGGATTATAGTTTGTTTCTCCTTCCTTTCTTCTGTTGTCCAATATTCAATTGTCATTCGGGCTCAAAACAGAAACCTCAGTCGATATTGTCACATACGTTCCCAGATCACTGGGTAGCGAAGTAGATCTCATATAAATTCTTGTGAATGTATTAAGATGACTTCTTACAAGGTACAACATACTACGAATTTGCAAAGTTTACTTGGACATATAATGTGCAGCATATGTCTGAGTTTGTGCAGCATAAGTCACTCTCCGGAGGTTTGATCTATGTAAAATTGTAAATGAAAGTAGTAAAACACAATGACCATTTCAATTATTTGTGCCATCTACCATGGCACCATTTATAATATCATTTCCAGCTCATTTATTTCTCTTTGCAAGCATTCATTTTGCGTTGTCCTTTACGAAACTAAATCATCCAATGTTTAGGCATTTGAACTTGTTGCTATCTTGTGTAATTCTTATGCTTGGATCAAGTTTAATCATGAGCTGTATGGAATATCATACCATGCAGGTATATATCTTGGGGGAAGCAAGGTGGTCCATTTTAGGCCTGAGGGAAATTTGAACTTAAGCACTGAAGCATCATCTGACGTTTATGATTCAATGTCCTGTCCCACCTTTCCTGACTGTGGATTCAGGCAACCCAACAGTGGCGTTGTCCTCTCATGCCTCGACTGCTTTCTCAAAAATGGATCCCTTTACTGCTTCGAATATGGTGTTAGCCCTTCAGTTTTCCTCGTAAAAGTACGAGGTGGCACATGCACCACTGCAGCATCTGACTCCCCAGAAACGGTTGTCCACCGTGCAATGTATCTTCTTCAAAATGGATTTGGCAACTATGACGTGTTTCAGAACAACTGTGAAGACTTTGCTATGTATTGCAAAACTGGTCTCTTGATAGTAGACAAGCAGGGCGTTGGTAGAAGTGGTCAAGCTTCTTCAATCATCGGTGCCCCATTGGCAGCCATTCTTTCTTCTCCTCTGAAGTTGTTGATGCCAAGCCCAGTTGGAGTTGCTACCATGACAGCTGGTATGTACTGTATGAGCAGGTATGCAACCGACATTGGTGTTCGAACCGATGTGATCAAGGTGGCGGTGGAGGATTTGGCTGTGAACTTGGGTTGGGCAGATGACAATGAGGAGGAGGTGACTGAGGTTGAGGAGTCGTCTATGACACAGATTACCAGATGATGTGAACATGGCCCTAGTGCAAGTGAAGTGCCGTGAATTTGCATGTATAAATTGGTAGTCAGTGTTGAATAAAGCATTTGTCGACAATAATGGCCGAAGTTCTGATGTGGGTTTACAAACTCATTTGTAATTGTCACATTATAGCTTTCTAGTTATGCATGAAATGGATGAAAACAGTGATTATATGGTTGTCCTAATTGCTTTATCGTTGTTGTATATGATATTTATTTATTTTTTCAATTCAGCAGATTCCAAGATTTTTATTTCAGGTCAGGGAGGATATTTGTTGCCATGCTTGGTGTAGAACTATAAACCAGAGTAGGGTGCATTGCTTAGATTCATGCAATTTCCATAATGAAATCAACACGATATTTTTCTTTCTTAACCCCAAATTTAAAAAGAAATTAGATAAGAAATTTCGAAGCAACACGGAAACTTTTTAAATTAGATCTGCAGTGTTCTTCAGTTCAAAAAAAGAAAAGAAAAAGAAGGGCTATGTTCACATGGGCTTATTTACTGTACATACAAGTTTTACAGCGACAGAGAACTCTGCAAATATAATCATGTATGAAATCAAATAGACACATGCTAATGTGGGGTATCTGAGGAGGGCTTGTATTGCTTGGAATTTTCTTGCAGCGCAGGCTTCATCTCTACCTGGCCTGCTAGCTCATTAACTGCATCAACAATTCCATTGATTCTTGCTGCATTTTCAATCAGCAAAGATACTAATGTGGTCACTGGAAGAACCTCCACCACTGGTGTTATGAAGGATTCTCCTTTGCCATCATCAGTGTCTTCTGGTGTCGGTGCAATGAGGCCGATGGGCACAGATTTCAAGGAATTTTGAAGTTCCTGCACTGCATTGTTCATCTCCCAAACCAAAGAGCCCATGTCAGTTGATTTTGTCATTGTTTTAATTGTTTTTGCCAATTCTCTCAAGATACCTGAAGAATATTTGTTTGTTGTCTTGCAGGCATTGCTGAGATGCTTCTTTAGCTGTCCAATTCCAGCTGGTGTCTGGCCATAATAATATGTAACTTACAAGTTAGAAGCTAATGATATAAAACAATCTTAGTAGTGATGATTCGTTTTGAGGTAAAAGACCAGCCTGGGTTTCTGACTCCATGCAACTGCTGAGAGCCTCAATGCAATAAGCACAACTACGCATCGATGCCCCGATCTTGAGGTACTGTTTCCATGGATGTTTAAAGTTGAAGCTGCCATGTGCAGGCTCCCATCTTGCAAGTTTAGCCTGCAAAATTGTTCCCCCAGGGGAAAAATAAAAATGAGCAATGTCTGTATAGGCAACAAATCAATCTTTAGTAACTGAGTGAGCCACTTCACTCAGCCACTTACCCAATTGTCTTCTGTTGCCTTTGAATCAAGCACACATTTATACCCTTTGATTTCCTTTGTAGGACAATTGTCTTCAGTCACAGCTTCATTATCTTTGAAGTACTCCAAGACATGTCCTGTATTTTTGAAGCTAACAAATTAAGTATTGTCATTACTAATAATATATCCTTTTCTGCAGGTGGTAAGGGAAAATGAAATTTGGTATTGTAATTAGAGATACCATCCAAGGAATCAGCCAGTTTCTCCAGGTTACGATAGATCAATCTGTGAAGCTCATCACCAGCCCAAGTGGGGTAGAAAAGCATGCTAATTAGAATACAAAAGGAGGTCCCAATGCCAATGGTGGACAATCTGTCGTAAGCCAACTCAGATAATTCACCAACACGATATCCGGAAACTGAAACTAAGCTGAAGGTGAGGATGAAGATCAGAGCACCGTAATCAAATCGGGATTTGACAGACGGGATGAATCGAGAGAAGGTTGCTGCTGAAGCTGCAAGGATAAGCAATATTGCATAAGTACAGTTTGTTATGAGTCAGAAACTTGAACAGTTTCACTTACCGAAGAAGAAAACTGAGATTCCAATAATTATGGGCTCAAGCTTTTCTCCTGACTTATAAGCAATCCAGTGGACACCCAAACCAAGTGATCCAGCAAGAAAAGTTCCTGCTGCTCTATTTATGCTTTTATAGAGTGTAGCACCTGCAATGACAATGACATGTATTGTGCATTTTACTTTACAATGAAATTTGGAATTTGAAAACTATTTAGAAGGGCACACTAATTGCATACTCACCCACAGTGGATTCAAAAACTACTACAACAGTCATAACTGCCCACATTGCATTCCCTCCAACACTTTCATACAAAGACCTCATATAGTAAAAAAGTGACACAATTGAAAGAGCCAACCCTACTTTGAGAGCATGGATGACCTTTTTGGGCTCAGCAACTCCTAAATCCCATGCCTTCAGTAAAAACCTCCATACTTCTAATCTCAACCCTCCAAGCACACCCTTCAACTCGAGCCAGACCTTATCGACTATCCCGGATTCTGGGACTAATACATTTGTTGTCCCATCAGGAACATTGATCCCCCAGTGCAAATTCCCTGACACATCCTTTTCATTCACCATTTTGGACAGGACTCACAAGAACAATGGAATTTGGGTTTAGGGTAAAATTTCCACTAAGATAGTTGTTTAGTGGAAGACTTAAGCTTTCTTGGTCTCAGTTTGTTGGTAGGCTTTTAGGGTCCAGTTAGTAGCCATTGCTTATATATTGCAGAGTCAGAGTGGAAATTTTTGACACATTATTTGTCAGAATTTTCAATTCCTTAAGCACAATGCTCTTAGACAATATGGCCAAAACTTGATAGACATTTGCTAATTAGCGTCATCTCCATTATGTGTTAACTTAATGGTTTTGAATTAACAATATCTTGGTGCTGTTATCTTGTTAGACAAGTGGATAATATGTTAATTAGTACACAGATCACGCATGTATAATTAACCTAAAATCCCATGAAAAACATGACCTAATTTATTCACACTTGTTTATTGACATCAATGGAACTGAATATATATGATTTGAAAAACAACTGCAACTAAGTTTTTTTCTCTCTTAAAGGACAGATATTTTAGTGGATCTATTACATCATAAAACGCATTATCAAAAGAAGGTACATACATACTAGGTTTTATATCTTCAGCTTTTAGATTCTTAAGAAATAGAGGCTGAGAGCAATCCATGTCATCTTTGATAGAATTGGGTTGATATGAAGTACTTTTGTATAGCATTTTCTATGTGTTAGTGCTACATCAGCGTGCCAAAATGTCATGGCATTCAACTTTGCTGCCACTAGCCAAAATCAATCCCCATGAAATTTATTATTAGGGATTCCGAGCCTCTACATTTAATATGTAACTTTCTCATCTTTCTTTAATATGGTAGATAAATTATTTCTCATCTTTCTTACAGATCTTTAGGGAGTGAAAGTTCAAATTATTACTTGTTGATTAAGAATTGATCAATGGATTAGAATCAATTCCAAATGTCAACCCACAAAACAATCTTATCCTCCCAAAGCATGTCCTACCTACTTATACCAAGAGAAATGATGAACTGAACTTGAACAACAACAATAATATTGAACTTGTCAAACCCATTGAGGACATTGATGATACTTTTAATATAATAATAAGAGAAATTTGCATAAATACCACATGAACTTGTAGGCACATGTGTTATTACCATATGAATTTTTAATTTTATTTTTAACCACCTGAATTTTGTAAGGTGTTGTAATTCACCACCTACATATAACTTCGTTAAATTTTCCATTAAGTTTAAGGGCATTTTCATCAATTAACTATAATTAAAAATAATTATAAAAAGAGTGTTGCTAAACGAACCCTAAAATTAACTGAGTACACCTTACTATAAAAGTATATATTGAATTACTGATTTACCCTAATATAAAATGACCAAAAAAGATATATGGAATTGTGAAACAAATATAATTTTAATAAGTACACCCTACTAACCATATTCAACCCTAATCAAGAGATTACTTGGTGCCCATCTTTGTGATCCGCGAGTCAGAATGGCTTGGAGCAGATGAAGCCTTCCTTCTTTCTTCTCAGAACTATTTCTCTGCATATTGATTGGAGAGTTTCTTGATGTTTCTTGATGTGAGTAACATGTTTCAATCTATTATGTACACTTTAGAATCCAATTAGTCTTTAATTTTGCATATAAGCTTGTATACATAGTGAAACTACGTGCTCCTGCGTGCTTCTGACCTCCACTCAAACTTGAGCCTCTTGGTCCTATGTTGGTTTTGTATCCATCTGGGAGATTTCTGATAAATTCATCTGCATTTGCAGTTCGTGCTGCATCCTCTACCATTTCCATGTTAATTTTTGCCAACAGATCCCTGTACCCAATATTTTCAGCAACTGTTCCTGAAAAAAGTGTCTAATACATACAAAGTTACCAACATAATATTATGATTTGGACAACAAATAAAATATTATAAAAGATTTATTAAAAATAAAGAAGAAAGAAACTATATTTCGGAGACACATCTACCGGACAACTTTTAGAAGGGTGCTGAAAATCATATGAAAAGTCAAAGATTTATAAACACTATTTAAAAAAATCAAGCTGAAAATCAACTATAAAATAATGCTACAAGTATTAGGGTGTAACAGGGTATTTTGGTAGTTCTATAGGGTGTACTTAGTTAATTTTACATTTTAATTAAAATATTAGGGT